ATGATGATGAAGGAGTGTTCATGTGAAGATACAGAGGAGCTGGACTGAGTGTCTCTACAGTGACTCTCCAGCTCTGATGATGATGAAGGAGTGTTAATGTGTGTGTGTGAGAGTGAGAGTGAGAGTGTTCAGGTCCTCCTGTGTCAGCGTGTGTTTGTCAGTGAGGGTCTGATTCAGACAGTGTTGCCCCAGGGCTCTGTGATGTAGCCGAGTTTAATAATCTATCAATTATTCATCAGCTGTCTCTCTCTTAAGAGCGCGGAGGGGGAGAGGTGGGAGAGCAAGCGAGGAGGAGGACAGAGGGAGAAAGAGGCAGGAGGGGAGGAAGAGTGCGGGAGATGGGAAATCCACGTCAAGGAGCTATGCAGGTCCTCCTCCTTTCCTTCCTGCTTCAGGGTACCCCAATTTCACGGGGTCCCTGGGCGTGGAAGGATCGGACACTTGCACTACCTGCTTGCATGCTCAGGAGCTTTTCCCAGCACAACGCCAAGCACAAAGCGGATGAGGCCAAAGCACACTGGTGCAGCGCCACGTCCAAGAATAGACCAAGGGGTCTTTTCCTCGGTGTGCAGGGCTTGATGCAGAAGCTTGCCGGGTGGAGATGTGGACGGGTGTTGGAGATGCCGGGGAGGTGGGAGTGTCTGTCTCTTGGGTGCCGCAGAGACATGTGCACCGCTGAAGTTTTTCCCCGGTGCAACACTTGCAGGTCCAGCTCCTGATTGTTTTATTACCGTCATACCGCTGAGAGCAGTTCCGCGGAAATTACAAAATACTCCTGGAACGGTGTTGGCCGTCAGCACACAGAGCACTGGAGCCACTCCAGCACGACGGTATTTAATTCCACCTGGAGAAGCTGCTCAGTGGGGTAGAATTTAGCAGTCGCTTTCCAAGGAGAACGTTGCGATTTCCAAGAAGCGCGCGTTAAACTGTGCTGCTCCACATGGGAATGAGGTGTTCTGCAAGAGCTCGCTGCAGGAATCCGGTCGGTGAAGCTCGCTGCGGTGTGTCTGTGGGGCGCCGTCTTGTGGCCGTTGTGGGTACTGCGCCCCCGCCTCGCACATTCACACTCGCAAACCCCCCCCTCTCTGCCCGCCC